GGGGGGGGGGGGGGCGCACTGGCTTCAAAATGAAGTTTTAAAAATGGACATTGGTCCGAGATGTGTGGCCGTAGTAAATGCATGGAGAGTTTCCTTTGCAGGGGACTAGAACCCCGAGTGGTTGGGGAGGAGGGTGGGAAGCCACAAATTGGCCCCTTTCTACACCACGACCACTTGCCTGGGGACCCAAGCCTCTCGGCCTTCACTCCCAGACCTGAGGTGTGTGGTGAGACCGGCTCCAGCTCAGCATGTAGTAGGAATGGCAGAGCCTGCAGGAAATGCAAAGTTTGTTTGTTTGTTTGTTTGTTTGACCAATTGTTTGTTTAATTAACCAGCATCCTCCCTTTCCCTCTCCCCCCACAAAAATCTTTTTGTTTTCCAGAAACATTTTAGGTATAAACAACTCTTTTTCCTCAGACTCTCTTATTTTCACCTCAGAGCCTCCTTTCTTCTAAAATACCTAAATATGTCCATTTTTTCCTAAGGGATCCCAATTTTATTAGATAAGTTAAAAATTTCCCTATTCTATTTATATATTTGATCTCTCCATGGTCTTAAAATACCTGGAAATGTTAATTTAGTCAGATTCTTCCAGAACTTCTCTGGAACTATTCTGAAACTCAGCTGATGTTTTGAAACTAGTCAACCCAAGGGCCCTCGGAGCTCCAGGGTCATCCTGCAACTCCGGTACTTTTGTTATTTCAAATTGGTGCCCTTGAACTTCTAGAGATACTCAACGAAGCTCCCTGGGATTTTAAGGTGAGCCAGTGTGTGTAGAATGGACAACAGCCAGCCCACATCCTGCAAAGCACATTTCCAGGCCTTCCCTGTTGTCTGGCACTCTGCTTGTTTTCTCATTAATCCTCATAACAGCCCTGTGGGTTAAGCACTATCAGATCTGTTTACCTTCAGGGAAAGTTGAGCTAGTTTGGTTGGAATTGAAATTTCACACAGGAGGAACACCCCATATTGACTGGGCCTTTACCCAGAGAGTGTAGGACTCAGGAAGCACCCATCAAAGCAAAAACAAACTCAAGTGCTGTCTCTGAGCCCCTCCTGGGTTCACTGGGAAAGAAACAACTGCATCATCCAAAGCGGAGCAAGGGTTTCAGTTCTCATCATTTCGGCCAGATGCACTGCATGATGCATTGGGGGGAGGGGTGCCCCGTTCCAGAAATCTGCAGGTTCCTGGAGAAACTGGGTCTTGCCTCATCTGGTGACGGGTAGCTTGGTGTTGCATCAACAGTAACATAGACAGCAAGATGTCCTCTCGACACAGGCTGTCAAAGAAAGACCACTTGGGTGGAGTCTGGACTTTTCCTGAGAGTTGTCAGGCACTCAGGGACTAGGCTACTGGGCACCAATAGCTCCCTATAAAACCCTATAAAAATAAATATACCTTAAAAAACCAATCATGCACATACAGGTCAAACATGGTATTTGCACTTACTTTCAAATCCTGCATTATAATCTAGGTGTATCATCTTGTTTTATATTTAAGGTCCACAGGCTTCCACTAAATCAGGAGACAAACTGGTGAGCAAAGAAAGCAATTCTTGTAGCCTTTGGGGCATTCAGTTCCCCAAAAAAGAATTGTCTTAAAGACCCTTAGCAAGAGGGAGATTAAGTAATATTCCCAGAGTGAGGCTATAAACCACCACCTTGCGGAAGCTTGTCCCCATCTCCGTGATCCTACCACTGATCCTTCTGCTAGAAGAATGGTCTAGAGAGGTCTCCTGTTACAGTAAGTAGTCTTGTGGGAAAGAATAGAAGAAATAGGTCGTAGAAACACTAAATCAAGTGTGGGCCATTGGAAGTTCCTCATCCGTGTCTTTGGTGGCCACAATAGCTAGCAAGCTGCCCCTTTATTGCACTGTGCCCTTACGTGGTTTTAGTTATTTATGTTGTCTTTGTTTTGTTAGTCTGTTTTTACCCCTACAGGATAAACGAGCTCAGTTGACCTGCATGGAGCTGAAGGCACTTTATGTTTGAACACTCTATTTGAGGTTGAAGCAGGGGAAAGAATTAGGGCAGAATTGATTGTTGAAGGGCCTCTTGCAATTCCCACTTTCCTCAAACAGACCATCCTTCTTCCTCGGCTGCCATTAACCTTTATTTAGAACAGAGTAAATCACCGGACTCAAAATTTATGTTACACACTACGGTCTGCTGGTACACAACTTGTCTTTTCACCAAATATCATTATTCAAAGTGTAAACGCCGTGCCCCAGGACCATTTCGCATTCTTATGGATGGCCTCTCGCAGGCCCGAGTCCTCCGTGGGTTTTGCTGTGAACGCATCGTGGTTCCCGGCTCACCTCTTACAGAAACTGCTTCACCAACCGCTGGAAGCTTCCCCAGTTCTGCTGAGGGTCAGATACATAGATTAGATCGTGGGGTTTTTGTTGTTACACTTTTTTTCCTTCTGTACTTAGGAAAGACTTACTCTTCAGGGAGGCCGAGTGTTCTACAGATTCAGCTTTTTGCATCTCTTGGTTCTAACATTTTCAGTTACGCTTTTATATCTTCTTTTTTTTTTTTAATATGTTTTGTTTTTTCATTTCAGAGAGAGGAAGGGAGAGGGGGAGAGAGAGATAGAAACATCCATGATGAGAGAGTCATTGATCAGCTGCCTCCTGCACACCGCCTGCTGGGGATCGAGCCGTAACCCGGGCATGTGCCCTGACCGGGAATCGAACCGTGAGCTCAGGCTCATAGGGTGGGCTCCACTGCTTCTTTAGAGCTGGGGTGGAGGAAGGAGAGGGCGAGGTGTTGGACAATGAAAACCCGGCGTTCGGAGTTCGCTGTCCTTCTAGGCTGACCTGGGGGGGGCGGGTGCAGAAGAGAGCCAGGCTCTGAGTGCAGCCGCGGCTGGAGGGGCGGGAGGCCGTCCTGGTAATGGGAGCTAGTGAACCTCTCTTCCTGGCACACCTGGCACACCCCTGCATCAAATACCCCAGCACTCAGAAATGACCAGGGCATCTCAGGAAGCCCTAGCCTTGATCTGAAGCGTACCCCATGGAAGAAGTAATTATGAACTAAACGTCTGATCTTACTGAGAGCTGGAGAGAAGGTGGGATCTGGGTCTAGAATATTCCTCATCTTCAGAAGTCTGTCAGGATAGTTAATACTGTTTTCCAAATGAAAAAAAAAACAAAGAATGGGTGAGGAGTGACGTAGGTGTGTGGTACGTCTTAGGAGCTGCCCAGTTTGAAATACCTGGAGAGAAAAGACAAGGCAAAGAGGAAAGCAAGGACTGTGCTTGTGATTTAATTCCCTCCTTGACTTTCTCCTAACTGCAGGACCACACGACAGGTAAGGGCTCTAGGGCTTGTGCAGAAGGTGGACTCTTTGGCTTTTGCAATTCTCCTGCCGCCTTTAGAGGAGGGAGAGTGAAAAAAAGCTTAAGGCGTGTCTTTCTGGTCCCAGGAGCCCTATCATGTTGTCTTTTGTCAACTCAGTCCTACAAAGAGTCTGGATTAGAATTCTTGAGGCCTCAGTTTCAAATCCTCTAAATAGGACCAGGGCTCTGAATATTCTGAATAACAGTAGTGCCCTCAGTTCAGACCTGTGGACTAGGGCCTGCCTGGCAGCCTGCTTGTCCTGGAACAGCAGGACTCTGGAACTTCTGTGAGTGCCAACACTTGTTCAGGATTAAGAATTTCTTATTTTTGCCCTGGCAGGTGTGGCTAAGTTGGTTGAGCATTGTCTAATGCACCAAAAGGTCTCCTGTTCGATTCCTGGTTAGGGCACATACCCAGGTTTTGGGTTTGGTCCCCTGTTGGGGTAGGTACAGGAGGCGGCCAATCAATATTTCTCTCTCACAATGATGAATCTCTTTCTCCCTCTCCCTTCCTCTCACTCTAAAATAATTCAATAAAAAGATATTTTTTAAAAAAATTATTTCTTATTTTTATCCTATAGCTATCACCACTTTTAATAAGACTGTGTAGTACTCCAAATGTACCATGTGGCATTTGGGATGGGCAGGTCTCTTTGGCTTCAGGGGACAAAAAACAAGCCCTAAACAAAATTGGAAAGTAGGTAAGTTTCTCTTAGCTCACCCATGTCTTTTATCAACATCCATCAGCTTTCTTGTGAGGAATTCCTAATTTTCATCTTAGCTCCCATTTACTGAGCATCACCATATGACAAGTAGTAGGTTATTTATATCCCCCATATGAGTTCTGTTGTTTTCCTCATTTCACTTGTGAGGAAAGATGCTGCCGAGGTTTCCGGGGCAATGTGATCCACCAGTGGCCACAGAGCCAGGTGTGGGCCACATGAAACATGGCTCCCCTTGGCTTATCTTTTCCCACCCCTGTTCTGGCGGCCTTTCAAAGGTCAAACAAACTCATGCTTACTATCGCCCAAGATGTTAAGTGACTATTAAGGTTTTTATGTGACAAACAGCTAAAATTGACTCCATGCGCCTTGCCTCTGTAGATGGTTATATTTTAAGTAAGACTCAAAGACACAAAAAGCCATGGAGATGGGTCAGTGGAGTAGGGTTATCCTTGAGGCAGGGGCTACTAAAGATTCCAGAAATCATCTCAGGCTAGTGGCTGTGGGCAGAGCATTCCACAGCAGGGCTCCATGCACATAACAGGCATTATTATCTGATTAAGACCCAGGCGATATGCTCATAACCTGCAGGAGGAGCGCAGGAAAGCTGCTTTGGTTCACTTCAGTGTCTCCAAATGACGAAGCTTCAGCTTTAGGCACCAGATCCACATAGGTAGCTGTAAATTCGAAGTGCCCACTCTTCCCAGGTCAGGATTTTGGTTTTGGTTTTATAGAACACTGGACTTATACTTGAAGAAAAATGCAAACTGGTCCTCTAGTTCATGGAAAATTAGGATGGCTCTGTTTTGTCCATGTTTGTAATTAACCAGATACGAAGGTGAACATTTGTCATGTTCACCAAAATGTCTTGGTGTTCTTGTCTTGTTTGTCCTGGCTTGTCATTCTAGTGCCAACATACTTTTGGATGATCAGTTTCAACCCAAACTCACTGATTTTGCCATGGCCCACTTCCGACCCCACCTAGAGCCTCAGAGCTCCACCATAAGCGTGAGCAGCGGCGGCAGCAGGCATCTGTGGTACATGCCGGAAGAGTATATCAGACAGGGCAAGCTGTCCACTAAGACAGACGTCTACAGCTTTGGCATCGTAAGTACCAAGAAGGCTCTAAATTGAGTTGTATTCTTGAAACCTGTATGGTTTTATTAACCAATGTCACCCAATAAATTCAATTTTTTAAAAAAGACTTTAACTTTTAGATCTATGATTTCCTGTTACTTCTTGTCATATACATTAATTTTGTGAAATCAATCAGTAATAAAATATAAATCATTAATTATAATGAACTATATTCATTGTTAAGGTGAATAGTCACTACTAATTATGTGTATATATATGTAACGTATGTAGCTAACTTTCTGTATGTTTTTTGTAGGTGATAATGGAAGTTCTGACAGGTTCTAACGTGGTGTTAGATGACCCGAAGCATATTCAGCTGGTAAGAATTGTCTTCTCGGCAGGATGGTCATTTTTCTGACAGAGCTCTAAGTGAGGTTGTCTTCTTCTCTTCCTAGAGGGATCTCCTTATGGAACTGATGGAGAAGAGAGGCCTCAATTCGTGTCTCTCATATCTGGATAAGAAAGTGTTTCCCTGTCCTCGGAATTTTTCCGCCAAGCTCTTCTCTTTGGCAGGCCAGTGTGCTGCAACGCGGGCAAAATTAAGACCATCAATGGATGAAGTACGTATACACACAGTTTTATTAAAAACTGAGCCCATAGAACCAGGGAAAATCTGAACTGGGTAAACTGTAAGTAAATTCCTTATTAATGAGACAAATCCAGGCCCCCCAAAGAGAATTCTAATCTAAAAGTATCATCACCTGGTACTCTGGTAGAGGTCATTACTACCAGAGACATAGTGAGTACTTTGGAGGGAATATTTTATTCAGCCTTCATTAAGAGATATGCCCATTAAAAATCCAGTATGTAATCCCCTTCTTGGTTTTTTATTCATATGTCCATCAATTTAATCATCTATTCATCTATTTGTTTCAATAAACAAATATTTATTTAGTGCCTGCTTTGCATGTGCCAGATTTTGTGCTGGGTGCGGGGGATACAACAGTGACCAAGATACAGTTGCTGCCCTCAAGCCATGGAAGTGGGGTGTGAGGAAGGAAAAGCAACAGTGGTTATAAAAAAAAAAAAGGTTCCAGGTGATAGAGGGACATGAATTCCATTCTAGGAGTCTGGGGTTTATCCTGAGTCTGTCATAGAGCAATGGGAGGGTTTTAAACGAGGAGTTGATGTCATCAGAATATAAAGAGCACTGGCCTGGGTGTCAGGAGAGCTGTATTCTAAGCGCGCCACCACTGGTAAGAGCTGTGTGACCTGGCATTTGGGGCCCAGAAAGGAGCTATGAGGTGTATAGTGGCGGGAACTTGGAGTTGGAAGCCAGAGATCTGGGGTCAAGTAACAATAGTTCTTCTCCTTACCTCCTTACCTACTAGTAATATTGATTGATTATTTTTTCTGAGCTTTGGCTTTGGTATTTATAAAATGAGAATAATAGTGTTGTTTGTGCAGATTAAATGAGGTGATGTGTGTAAAGCACTTTGAAATTGTAAAACTCTCTATATGTATTTTTTAAATTGCATGTGTGTGAGAAGGTATGTTGTATGTTATTTTATAGCAGGTCAGTGGTTCTCAATTTGGGGTGCACAACCAAATTTTTTTTTTTTTTAAATATATCTTTATTGATTTCAGAGAGAGGAAGGGAGAGGGAGAGAGAGAGATAGGAACATCAATGATGAGAGAGTCATTGATCAGCTGCCTCCTGCAGGCCCCCAACTGGGGATCCAGCCCGCAACCCGGGCATGTGCCCTGACCGGGAATCGAGCCATGATCTCCTGGATCCTAGGTTGATGCTCAACCGCTGAGCCACACCTGGCTGGGCATGCATAACCAAATAAATGGAGAAGCTTTAAAAATACAGATTCCTGGGCTCCCATCTCCATGTTTTTGAATGACAATCTTTAGGTTGGAGAAAAGGGATCTGTATTTTAAGAACACTCCCCTATGCAAATCCGGCATTTGAGAACTATGGATTGGGTTTACTGTCCCCCAAACCCTTCCGATTCTCCACATGTTAAGATTGAAGTAAAAAATGGTAAGAGACTCACCCAAGGTCACAAAGTAGTGGTGGCAAATCTAGGCCTAAGGTCAGGTCTCTTGATATTCAGTTCAACACAGTTTATGTTATCCTCTGCTTCAAGTCACTTAATTTACTCATTAAAATGAAGGGTTTAGCTAAATACTCTGTCATTGAAAATTCTACAGTAGAACTGATTTCATGGAAATAAAAGCACATTCCTTAACAGGTAGACAGAAAAAAGGTAAAAGGAAAGGTTATTCAAGCTTAACTCGATGTCTGTGTGCTTCTTGGTTAATTAGGTCCTAGCTACTCTTGAAAGTACTCAGGCCAGCTTATATTTTGCTGAAGATCCTCCCACCTCACTCAAGTCCTTCAGGTGCCCTTCTCCTCAATTGTTGGATAACGTGCCCAGTATTCCAGTGGAAGATGATGAAAGACAGAATAATCACTCACTGATTCCTGATCAACCTTTGCGGAAAGAGAGACTGGCTCAGAAAATTCCCTTTGAGTGCAGCCAGTCTGAGGTTACGTTTCTGGGCCTTGACGGAAAGCTGGGGAGCAAGAGAAACGAGGACACTCGTGGTAGGCCCAGCTCTTCTCGGGAAGACTGTGGGTGTCCCCAGCATGCAGCTCCACCCCAGGACGCGGGCGCCTCCGGTGTGAATGCGGACCCTTCTGCAGAAGCCCCAGGCCATTCTCACAGGAGCAGGCCAGTGGAGAGTAGCTGTTCCAATGAATTCATCTGGAATGAATGCGAACAGCACGGGAAGGAATCCATTGTACCAGAAGATAAAGAAGATGGCAAGAATTACTGAGGCACCTGAGGACAGGTACCATCTTGGGAAGACATTGTCTTGGTAAGTAGTGCCAAGAGGATGCTCCATGGTGACTTTGGTAATGCAGATCAACAATCTGGACAATCCCACTCTTTACTCTCCAACTCGCAAAACAGGGGCCCTTAAAAGTGTGTTTTATTTGGTAATTGCCATATGATGAAACCTAGGCTAAATCAGAGCTATTCACAGTTACTTAAAATCATGGGCTCTGACTTCAGACAAACAAAACAACCAAAACCTGCCAAAAAGAGACTGGGTTCCAATTTCTTCATCAGCATCAGTATGAGTCCTCAGAGCCTTCCGTCTGCAAAGTGCATTCAGCTGGATTCTGTTGTTTGGTTTAGCTGGCTTGCAAAGGTTGTAGGAAATGCCTAATTTGTAAATATTAATAGATGCCCTTTAAAGAATTGCCTTTCCATTTACTTTAATCGACCCATAGTATTTTTCTCTTTGTCCCTGTCAAACCTGCCTGTCTGAAAACGAGCCGGGGTCACCCTCGGCTGTGACGTGTTCTCTGTAGAGAGGGGATTCTTACCCAAGATCTGTATTCTGTATTTAAACTCTCAGGATAGTTTGTCACATATAATATAGTTGTTGACTGTTATTACAAGTTCTTTTTTACAAACTTAGAGGCCTAGTATATTCTGAGTGGTATGTATAAATTTTAATCAAGTAATTTTTGTTTCTGAGAAAATGGCCAATCACAAGAGCCTCAGTCTGCCTTTTGTTTGATTCTGTACCTTCCAGGTCTGTGCCTTTGCTCCTGCTGTTTCCTGGGTCTCTCCCTTTTAAACTCTTACCAGTCCTCCAGGGCCCAGCAGAACGGCCAGCCTTCTGGAGGCTTCCCTAACTTCTCGAGCCAGAAGTACTCACTTTGTCAGCATTTCCATAGCAATTTTTTTATATTTTTATATTTCTATTTTATACTAGTCACTGTCTGAATTATTTCAAAGTTGCTTGTGCCATCTTCTCACTCGGACAAGACTTGTAACTCCCTGTATGTTTTCTATTGTTGCTGTAACAAATCATCACAGACTGAGTAGGTTAAAACAACGTAAATTAATGATTTTGCAGTTCTGGAGGTCAGAAGTCCTTGGCATTCCTTCTGGAGGCTTTAGGGGAGATTCGTTCCCTTACCTGTTCAGGCTTCTAGAGGTTCCCTGACTTCCTTGGCTCATGGCCTCTTCCTTCATCCTCAAAGCCAGCAATGTAACATCCTTGAATATAGATCTCTCTCTTTCTCTGACCTCTTCTTTGTGACCACTTCCTCATACTTTGGCCCTCCTCCCTCTCTCTTATAAGGATCCTTGTGATTGCATTGGGCCCGTGCAGATAATCCAGGAAAATCTCTGCATCTCAAGAGCCTTAATTTATACACATCTGCAGTGTCCCTTTTCTCCTGTAAGGTAATCCACAGGTTTCTGAGGTTAGGACATGGACATCGTTGGAGGCCATTCCTCTGTCACATTCCCTGAGTGTGCAGGGGCCATCTCTTCAAGGCCCAGCATGTTATCCTATACAGAGCAAGTGTTTTCCTTTAAATTATCTCTATGAACCCACGTAATTAAAAATTCAGCTATGGTAAACATTGTTGAGTAAATTAACAAAGTGGGGATAATGGTTGTCTTTATGGTGATGGATAGAAATACTCCAAGAAAACCATTTCCAGAAGATTATAGAATCTCCCTCTTTGGGGCATCTATAGTGAAAGGGTAGACCTCTCACTTTCTGTGCATCAGAGGAATAGGCACATGTGTGCGTGCATGTGTGTGTGTGTGAGTGTGGTTGGGTTCATCATAGTTAGGTTGGAGTCCAGATTCAAGAACAACAAAGAAAGAAGTTTTCAGGAATTAGGGTCAGGTTAGCAGACCAAGGTCAGAAACATGGAACCACAGTTCCGGGGACAAAATGACCTCATGGCAGAAGCGAGGTTCAAAACACAATAAGCCTTAGTCTGATGGACAGCCCCAGAAAGGCCCCAGGTAAGCAGTCAGGAGAGGCCATGCTCACCGGCAATTCTGCAAGGGGCCTGGCTGTCCAATGCTGTCTTCCACATGTGATCGTGACGTTGTGTTCACAATGCTCACAAATTGACCCTGTGCTAAGACTAGTAGGGGAACAGGCTTAGACTTGACTTCATATGATTTTAATTCTTGTGACCTGTCCTGGTTGGCACCTCTTGATTATACGTGTTAATGAAAGGAAGCAGTAGAAGTCTTTGGCACTTGGCTTTATATATTGCAAACCATCCTGAGGCTGATTTAGCTTATTTTATAAATGTAGTCTGAAAGTGTTTTGGCTGAATTAGAGGCATTAGTCTGGAATTGAGTGAAGCTGCCACTAATAATTGAAACGTGGTAATGAAAATAATTAAGAATTGACTCTATGCTAAACTGTTTTCCACTTTGAACCTGGACCCCTCCCTGCCTCCAGCACCTTTAATGGGAGGTCATTAAGGAACCTCTGATTAACACAGGCCTGCGCCCTCACTCAGCACACGGGTAATCTGTTGGGTTTTTGTTGGCTTGAATTTGCTTGTTTGACTTAAAGCAGTGTTTCTTAAACTTTAATGTGCATCAAAATGATGTGGAAGGCTTGTTAAAAAGACAGATTGCTGGGCCCGCCCCATTTCTGATGCAGTAGGTCTGGGTTAAAAAGGTGGCTTTCTAACAAGTTCCCAGGTGGGGCTGGGGCTGAGGCTGCTGCTGTGCAGGCCACTCAGAGAACCACTGCCTTAAAGTGTCCTCAGCTCGTTCTCGCTCAGTAGATTCTACCTGTCCATCTAGGTTGTGTGTTTTTTGAAAGAAGTGTCATTTCTTTTAATTCTTTTATATTTTTACTCTACTGCCTAGGATTCAGCTTAGCGTAGAGTGGAGCTCTAGCAATATTGTTAATTCGTGATCTATTTGACTAGATCACCTGGCTTGGGGATGACTGTTTTGGTCATCTGAAGGACCAAATCAGATTAGTTGACAATAACCTGATTAATGATATGTAAGCAGATGCCACTGTGGCTGGAAATGACCAATTTCCTACTGAGCGATCCAGTCCTCCTGACTAGATTTGCCTTCTAGTGGGTACATTCATAAATGTGATTGTAAGAATTAAATATTGCATTCTGCTATGGGCAGTAAGGGATATCTCGTGGCCTCATGATGTGCAGAGTAAGATACGTGAAGAAGCCAAGAATGAGCCTCCAAGTGTCCCCANGCCTCATGATGTACAGAGTAAGATACGTGAAGAAGCCAAGAATGAGCCTCCAAGCGTCCCCGCTGATCAGCCAACATGAATTAGTAAAGGATTCCCCTCATCTTCACCCTCGTAGCTCACTGAGGGCAATCCTCCAGGCACATTCCATTTCCTTGTTAGGGTTTTCATTGCCTTTTATAATGCCCCCAAATATTTTGTTGTTTTTGAAAATAGGTATAGGATTTCTGATAATCAGTTTTATTGACTTCTTGAGAATTGCTATGACTGACTGCATACTAGCACAGTTTTATGCCGTGCTGTGTCAGCCATGAAAAACAGCTGTGATGGCCTGGGTACGCTGAGCTTAGGAAGTGAGGGTTATCCCGAGTAGCATTTATTAAGCATTTGACAGAATCAAGGCATTGTATTGGCTACCAGGATACCAAGTAAGGGAGAAAAGGCATCTACTCCAGTTAATAGTTTGGTGACGTCTGTTATTTGAACCACCAGCCAATGGAACGGAAAGTAAGGACTGAGAGGGCGAGGAGGGGGCAGAGATTACTGTGCTCTTTGGGGCAGGTAAAGAAGGCTCCTTGGGGAAGCTTGCTGGGAGACAGAAGGGAGTAAGAGAAATAGGAAAGAGTACCCAGGAAGCACTTCAGGAAGGCTCTCTCGGGAATTGGGGATCCACAGCTCTACCAGAGCTCTGCACAACCCCATCTCTGGGGTTGGAAGAATGGGGTGAGGGCACAGGGAGCTGGGTCCAGAGCTTTGCATGTTTTTCTGTTTAACTCTCACATCACAGCTACCCAGGAGGTATGAATCCCATTTTATAGATGAGGAAACTGACTTAGGGATAGTAAGGAACTTGCCTGAGGTCCTCCCAGGTCTGAAAGAGCCAGAATGGGAACCCACATCAGCCTGCATTCAAAGCCCAGTGCTCTTTCCTGTTCTCCACAAAAAAGCCCCTGCAGATTTATGTTCCTGTGAAAAGGCAGGGATGCGAAAAGTCATTTGTTGAGTTCACAAATTTTCAGCAAGCGCACAAGCCTTGCCATGTCTTCTGCCCTTTTCACTTTTGCTACAGTTACCTGCCGCTGCAGTCATTTGATGTAAGTTAAATGGACTCATCCATCCATCCATGCACTCACTGAACAAAGATTTACCAACAGCCTCCTTTGTGTCAGTCACTGTTCTAGGAGCTGGGGAAATGGTGAAGAGCAAACCCCACAAAAATCCCTGCCCTCATGGAACTTAATTTGACTGAAGAGGTGAATGAGTGGGTGAGTCGGAAACACTGTGGAGAGCTGGGATCCTGGTTCTGACTCTAGCTGGCAGCTTTCCACGCGCGCTCCGCGCTGAGCCTCTGGGCGTCTGGGTGACCCGGCTGCTCTGCCAGCTCTTCTGTAGAGGCTCGGAGAGGTTTCCTGCTTGTGCTGTGGGGGCGCATTTCCTCCAGAGCTGACATCTGGCAGCCCATCGCTCTGCTGTTGCTGCGCACAGAGCCACATGCTTTGGGGCAAGTAGGGCAGGTCCTGTTCTTCCACTGACCATGATTTTTTCCGAGCACTTATTTGGCTACTGATGGCACCTTCAGCCGGCTGCCTCTGAGTAATCGGAAGCGCCTGCGCAGGCCTCGCCTCGCTGTCGCTCCGCAGGGGCACTCCTGCTGCTCCACAAAATGAGACGGCCCTGGGGACAGGCTATATCCCGCTCATTTTTATGTCCCTAGCAGCTAGTACAGTACCATGCACATAATATGACCCAGTAATATTGGTACAATTAATAAATCAAATAGTCCTTTTAAACATCTTTAAAATTATTGGTATCTAGCGTATCAAGACTATCACCTTACTACACCCAAAGTGTGTCTTCCTGATATCCATACTATATTCAATCCTTTATTTAAGCAGTTCCAGCTCACCATTCCGGGATAATTAATTTCAAGTATTAATATATGAGATATATTTGAAAAGACGAATTAGACACTGTATTTTGCTTGTAGATTTGTCTCATGGTAAGAGATATTCCCAAACCATGTGTAAGCAATCATCAACCAACATTTTGACAGGTAACAAGCAGATGTTCGTTGTATTTTGTGTCCATCTATCTATATCTGTCCCAAATTATTTATAGATATTTAATGGTCCATTGGACTCAGCATGCAAGTATTTTGGGGGGAAGCATTTTTATTCTAAAAGATCTACATTATCTCCCAAGCCTTCACATAAGGGCCTTCTAATTGATGCCACCTACCTCGTTGCAGACTTTGTAATCATCTATATAAACAGCAATATTTCTATAAATATTTCCAAAGTTTTTTATTTGCTTCTTAATTTAAAATTTTTTATAGAGCGACATTAATTGGAGGCGATGAAGGTAGAAATAGTGTGCAGGTGCACTCACATACTTAAGCTTTAAATGTCTATTAAGCTGGTTTCTATTGCTGTAAGATCAAGAGAAATGGTCGAAGCAGTTGACTCAGCCTGAGTCACACCGGTGTTGGAATAGAGATAGATA